ATTGTTTTTATTATCATTGATTTCATCCAAATTCTCAATTGGATTGTTGATATTATTCTTGAATATCATTATTAATAAAACATTTGGACATCTTTCAATTGTTCTTCGATTAACAATACTCGTAACATCCAGATAAGCTTCATGGATATACATCTTGTGTGTGTGCGCCATGACTTAGATTTTGATGATATTTAGGTTCTGGATCACTATTTGTATATATTGATATTGCGACGTGAGTTATTTTTACCAGGACGTATTTTAAGTGCGTTTGAATATTGAATATCTTTTTATGCCTGCTTTACATGCTGTATAATTAACTGATAATGATAATGATGTTGTATATTAGTTAATAAATGAATTTTGAGTTATATATATATTAAACCTGAAATTAAAGCAGTACTAGAAAAGTTTGAAGGAGTACCTATAGCCTTACTTGTTCTTTTCATATATATCTTCGAAATATATATATATATGTATATATTATACTAATGAGATCATTATTAAGAAAGTCAAGAAAGTCATTAAATTATAAATTTTTTAAAAAAAGCATTTTTACTTACCAATCTGACAATAAAAGCGATCCATATCGATATGAGTTATTATTATTATACGTTTTTGAGAATTGGAGGACGATTTGTTTTAAATAATTTTCTTTTTAGATGCAATTTTGAAATTTTGGGTTTCTATCAATCCATCTAGGTGATACTATTTTTCATTCATATAATTTTTAACCCATGGGAAGATAAATTCAATATTTTGATTTGAAAATCAGACATGCTTGTAATAAATTATCACACTATATGACTTACATTTTGGCCAATATTAACAATATATGATTGCTATAATTGATAAAAAATAGTTGGCATCACTTATAACAAAGTCAATATTATTCTTTTGGTCGGGATAAAAAAATGTGAATTAATAATAATTAATATTAAACATGTGCAATCACTGATTTGTGTAACATATTATTGACATTGTCTGCAAAGAACCCCGTCTAATGTCATAAAAAAAAAAAGGCTTTTCTCAGGCTGTTCGGCACTTGCATAGATAGATAGATAGGCTTTGAAAGATGGTTTCATTTACCAAAAAAATCATTTGTTAAAGAATCAAGTTTAATTTCATTCAGCATTTTATTAATTAAAAAAAAGGATTAAAAATTACAAAAATAATTTAAATGTTCAACTTTAATCTTTGTTATCATTAGTAGTTAAAAGATGATAATCCTTATTTTTGACCACAACATTGTCGTCTTCATCATCGTCGTCATCTTCAATAACGAAATCAACATTTCGAGTCTTAAGAAGTCGTTGACCACTTTCTAAATCTTTTTCATTCATAGCGATTTCTTCTTGTGCTTGGTTTTTATCGACTTGTTTTGATTCGTAATCTTTTATCCAAGTGTATAAGCAACTTCCAAATAGAATTATACCAATACTACCGATACGTCCAATAGTAAGAATATCACTGAATATTGTTACTCCAAGAACAGTTTGTATTACACCACGAAAAGCTGATGATATCATATGCGATATTGGTGATGTTACTTTAATTTGTAAAAATCCTGCAATGTTGATTAAAAATCCAAAAAATCCCTAAACACATAACATAAAAATTATTATACATACAACTATTAGTAAAAAAAAATTTATATCTTCCCAATGTCAATCTTCTTTTAAGAAATTACCGTTACTACGATTCCAATTAAGAAGGTGTGAAAAGATTCAGAAGAATCAGAGAACATTTGATAGATTTGAAATTCTTCACCAGTAAACAAAATCAAAGGAATGAAACAAACGGAACTTAATAAATTATTATAATAAACCAAGTCCATTGTGTTATCCTTTACGACGGCCAAACTTTTCTTTATCACAATCGCGTGTAATGCTGTTGTGATCGATGAGAATACGCCGTAGAAGACGCCAAGAAGTGAAACCGAAATTTGTTTTTCCGATGATACTCCAACAAAGAACCCAATACATACAATAAAACATGATAAAAGTATCATGTATGATGATTTCTTCTTTAGGACAATGAATGTAAATAAAACTGTGAAAGGAAGAACTAAGGCACGTGCAACCTATGCATAAAAATCAAATCAACCAATTTAATTTATTGAATTAATTGTTGGAAGAAAATAAAAGATATTGATTATATTTACTTGATAAAAGCTTGCATCAACATATTGTAGACAAACAGTGTTAAAACTTAATCCCAATACGTTAATTCCAATTAGTGGTAGTACTCCAATACATATATCTTTTTGAATTTTTGGTAATTGTACTACGCCAAAAAGACTCGAGATATGTAAAAGTATTACTGCCATAACAAGTTGTGAGAAAAGTAAGGTAAAGGGAAGTGCTGCATTATTTAAAACCCACTAATACACAATTATATTGATGACCATAGTGATGTTGATGTTGATTAAACAATGATGATATTAATTAAATTTTATTATTATTATTATCATTATTTCATACTATTTATTTATTACCTTATTTACAAGAACCATAACAAGTGCAGTTGTAATATAAAATGACACCGAAAAAATGACCATGGAACGACTGGCTTGCTTTGATTTTTCACCCATTTTTTCCTTTTTTTTCTATTATTATTATTAATCTATATAATCTATACAATTGTGAATGGCAGATTGTGAAGATAAATAATATGTTGTAATATTATATGGAAATGAGCATGTCTTAGTATATAAATAAGTATTAAATACGGAAAGAAGGTAGTTTAAGAAGAAAAAGAGGATAACAAAGGTAAAGGTTTATAGAGAAAATCAATACTTCCATTCCTCTTTATGTTTCCAAAAAAACAAAATTTTGTTGATCTTTGCCATTACTATACAATAATAATAAAATAATAATATAAGGAAAATATTTATAATCTTTTTGGGACTGTTTTTTTGAATTTGCATCAAGCTTTCGTCTGTACTGGCTATTTATTCAAGATTTTATTTTTTTTTAGGGTTATTATATTATATAGTGAATGGTAGAGGTGAGGTCACATCTTAATTAAGAATGTTTAGATCAAGTTCAGCTTGTACTGTATTTTCTTCAATAAATTTTCTTTCAATAAAACTTTTTTAGGTTACTATTATTTAAATATGGATATAACAATTGATTTAAATTGTTTTTCTGAACATCACCTAATCTTCTTGATCTTTTTAACTCAAGACAAGCTTTTGCAGATATTTTTGTTGACAACAACTATCTTTATATGCTTGTATAATGTTTAAAGATTTTGCCTTTTCTTCTGTTTATATTAGTTTTTTTTTTTTTTTTTTAAGATCCCACGTAAAATTTTTAATAATTACTATTATTAGATGGACATTTGTCAAAAAGTTTTTTTTAATTAAATTTGCATAGACTCATTTTAATCTCTTCCTTCTCCTATTATGATTTCCATTAAAGCAACTCAGAGAGCAACAATATTTGAGTACAGGAATCCATTTCGATACAATATTTTAATCTAAATACGTTATCATTAAAGCTACAGAGAGAGTAATATAGATAAACTGGTAATTTCTTGCACAAAATTAGAAGGCTAATACTTGAATTACCATATAAATTAAGTAAATTATTTTCCAAAATTATCCCTTTTAGAGGTAATTGTGGTATTGAAGAATTGGCCTCTATATAATTGGCACAAATCATGTTATGAAATCAAAAAGATAAAATAATATTTATGGAAATATCACACGGCTATAATTGAATTCAATAATAATAATGGTGAAATCGTAAATTGCCTAACACTAAAGTACCTCATCAACAGTTTAAAATGTAGATTGCAGTTTGTGATAAATGGGATTAATAATAAGAAAATTAATTAATAGCCAGAATAGGACCCGAACAATTAATCAAATCAATATTAATTTATTGATATATTAATATAGAGATTGAGTATTTTCAAGGAATATATATTGATAATCTGTGTCTTTTTCGAAAAAAATGGATTACAAATATTCACTTGAAAATACTTCGAGCACATGAATGTTGTACCAGAGGATTAAGTCCATGGCGCAAAAATTCAGTTTGAAAGGCATTTATTTAAATCATCCAGTATCTATTTTAATAACTGGCATCACTCTTTTTTTCTCACATTACGTTAACCCAGTTACGGGAGATGCATTAAACAATGGTGGCATATTATTAATATTCCAACTTTGTGGGTCATTTTATTGACAGCATTAAAGCATAATTGTATTGTATAATGGTTGTTTCTCCAATGGATCTTGAACATCATTTTGTTAAGAAATCTTTATATTCTTCTTATGCTGGACTGACTTGAATATTTGTTCTTCAAGTTATCAATTGCTTGCAACTAATAAAACCAAATAGTATACAAAATTCTGGTTGGCTAACTTTACGCGCGCAAATTTAAATATCCAAACAATTCTATTCATTCAAAATCAATAATTTATTACAAAGTCTATTATTACACTTACTTAAGGACAATTAACTATCAGAAATAATTGAATAAACATGACATAATAATACATAAAAATTCAAAATTGTATTTCACTACTTGGAAACTTTTAGTATACTAATTTTTTGGATGATACCATAATAAACTTGATTATTTTATAGAATCTCTAAATATTGGTTTGTGACGAAATGAACATTTGACGAAATGGACTTTCGACGAAATGAACTTTCGATGAAGCAAACTTTCAACGAAACAAACTTTCGACGAAATGGGTGTCGACGAAATGACTGTCGACGAAATGATTGTCGACGAAATGAATCAGACCCCTTTATTGTATTTTATGTTGTATGAATCTAAAAAAAAATTAAAATAAAATATAAAATTCTTTAACTGAGCGAAAAAATTTATAAAAAATTAAATTTACACACTTCTATGGTAAATGGGTTATAAATGGCATTTTTAGGAGTAGAATTTACAACTTTTTATATGTTCGTTTGCATACCAATTCAATTATCCAATTTTTTGTGGTCATCAACAAAATGTGCACATTTTTTATGTAACATTCAATTTCCTACACTGGTTGATGCTTTATTAATATAAAGAATTATGATGAAAAATTCAATAAATACAGAAGATTACATGCCCAAAACTATTTGCTACATGATTTTTAATATATACCTTTCAAATCTTTTATAACATCTGGAATGTATAAATCAATGACACCTTTCCATGCATACAAGTCTTTTAACCAATGTATGACAATTGATTGTGGTGATGCCCATTTTCTCCCTACAACATAAAATACTGGGATCCTTGGGTCTTGAAAAAGTAAGCAATGTTCATCAATTGGATTTAAAGTTGAATTTGCATGATTAATTAGCCATTTTCCCAACCTTGTGTCTTCGCCCCCCCTCCATTCGGTTTTGTTGAATGGAGTTGTTGAAATCAGATGTGGATAATTCATCGAGAGAACTACAAGCATACCTGTAATATAGTACTTATGCTTACATCCGTAATACACATTATCTCGTGGCAATGGTCGAAGGTTAAGTGCCAGATTTTGAAAGTGTACAAATACGTCATCATCTGCCTTTGCTGCATAATCATATTTCATGGTACCGAGGTGCTCCCAAACCCACTTCCAGTAATAATACGCTTTGCCATTATTCATATTCTCTTCCATATCCAGCATTACAAGATCGCCATAGGTATCATTCTCAGTAGTCAATTTTAATTTCAAATCGGGTGTGTACACATCTTTTGGTGGTCTTCCTAGGATAAACTTGAAATCCACGTTGTCGCCAATCAAATTTTCTTGTTGCTTTAAATTTATAGCTCGTACTATACTTCGAATTTTATGCCCTTTTGCTGTCGTCCATATACCAATGAAAACACGGATTGGTGACCAATTCCACAATTCTTTGGAGGAGATTCCATTTTGTTCATGATAACTTTCACATTCCATTTTAGATTTGAATGGAATTGGCTGGTCTTGGTATGCCTGCATTTGTTCAAGGGTAGGTTTACCATGATAATTGAGAATGGGTCTTATCTTTACTGCTTTCGGTTTTGAAGCTGTTGTCGGTGTAATTGTTTGATTTAATTTTGAAGCCTTGGTTATGGTGGTTGACTCAATTTGAAGATCGTCATATTTATCGGGAATTTGATGGAAATCTTCGACTGAAAATACAGTAATGTTGAAATAATCTATTATGTAGGTTTGATGTGTGTGCGTATAAATATATATGTGTCTCGTAAAAATAAAATTTATAAAACATATACAAATTTACTAAAGTCATATAGAAATTATGCAGAACGAATGAATCCGACCTCCCTGTATACTTTCTGTATAATAATAGTGAAATATATGTTATTATTATGGTTATTATTATTTGGAGTATTGAGAATGTTAGATTCCTGTAAAAAAAATAATTGATATTTTTCAAAGAAATATTTGTACTTTATTTTGCTTTCTACATGTAACAAAAAAAAAATTACACGCATTCTGCATAATTTCTGTAGAATTTTAGTAAATAAATATATTATAGGGATGGAAATTTGAACCCACCATAATAATAATTTAGGCAGAGAATGATGATAAGAATGGTTTGCAAAACACAAGCAAATTTAATTAATGAGCAAGAGTAAAACATTTCACCTAAACAATAAAAATTTACGTTGATATGGCCCTTTTTTAAATAATTCAACGCTTCATCTGTGTGCCAAATAGAGATGTTAAATTGTTGATTTAACTGCAGTTTAACCACGGGTTAACCATTACAGACAGTTAAACCATAGTTTAAACCGCGGTTTGTTGATCTGATTAAGTATTAATATATGTTCAACAGTGGTTTAAAGCCGCAGGTTTACAACCGCAGTTCAACTCATTCAACATGGTTTTTACTATTTAAAATCCTTAGTGCCAAATAAACTCTGTTTGTTATTTTGATATGTAAAATAAATTGTTTCGAAACAATTATACATTTTGACTACAAGTTAAATTGAATTTTTTGTGGAAAAAATGTTATACAATTAATATTAATATTAATATTAATATATTATTTCCGATTTAGTCACGTGTACCAAGTTTCCCTGTTATCTATAAATTAACACTGGTGTCAAATTGGTGGTGATTAGTAGTCTTTTAAGCTCCAAAGAAATTAAAAAATGTCGTTTGAAAAACGAAAGTAGCAAATCATAATTTAGCTAACCACACCACGATAAAACAAATGTTTTAGAAATAAACCCAAAGAAAAGAATTCATATTATAGATTTTTTACAATGTAAATTTTCGAATACTTAAAGTATTTACTTTTAAATCTTGCCTAATTATAATAATTTTCGTAAAAAAAAATTACATGGGTTTTTTTATTATTGCAAAAGTTTTTCTCTCTCATTAATATCAATATTAAAACAATTCAATAAGTTCAATCACGTGAAATTTTTTGGGATGAGAATTGATTTGATAATTTTGATAGTAAAACTAATAAACTAATTTTTTTTGAAATAAACTAATATTTTGATAATTGAAGTCGAAATTTCAGTTTGATTTCCAAATTGACTAAATCAAAGCTTTTCTATGACTCTAATAATAATTAATATACCAGTTTTTGAATTTAAACCAATTAGGAAAATTTTCATCTAAAAATGCAAAATGTTTCAATTAATCCTTTATTTTGACAGGATTTAAATTTCAACAAAGGCTGTTTCAAAATAACTCTACATTTAGTTAATCGTTTAATAAAAGATACATCAGTCCATCATTATCCTCCATTATCCAACCAAAACAAATGAAAAAATTCTTTTGTTGCTTAGGTTTAACTCCTTCGAAAATCTATTTATTTACTATTTACTATTATTTTCATGTTTGACTCGTCATATATTTATTCATTTATATTGCATGGCCATTTTCTGTTTTATACGTGAATATCAAAGATAATATCAGTCGATATTGTTGCTAATTAATTATCCAACACGTATAAAAGAACCCCGCAATTTATGTGCTTTCTAAATGGGTTTTCTGTTAATAAATAATAATTCCTTTGGCACAAGATCATCATAAACCTATATAAAATCAATCCAAACCATTCGCTAACTATCTCACTCCTCTAACCATAATTGGTGTGATTTTTCTCATATATAAATGAATCTTTCCAACCAATGCTGTGATAAAAATGGCGTGTAATTTTAATTCAATGTTGAAAAATTTACTTGTACAGTGCAGGACACCTAATCCCGCAACTTACTGCGCCACGACGACTAATTTTGGGAAAAATTTCCAATCAAAAATGCAATAAAAATTGTTTTGTCATGTGATATTTCCTAGTCATTCCATAAATAGTAAAATCGGCAATAAGAATAAACATTGGGTTACCTAATATGGATGTGATCATCAACTAAAAATTCAAAAACTTTTATTTTGTTTCAATTTGTTCATTTTTATATATATATAAATCGCGTGTAACGCGACAGTTTTGGGCTTAACATAGTAAACTTGTGCAACTTTGAGGCTTGATCTCTCCATGGTAATGTGACATATCAACAAAATGAAATCGTAGCTTTGTGGAGAAAGGTCTTAGCTTCAAAATCATGTTTTGTTTTTTTGGTGTTACATTTCCATTCTGGTATACTAAAGAATATACAAGACAAATAAAAAGTTGTGGGACTAGGTGTCCTGCACTATAATTAACATTTAAAACCTGAATGTTACCATTTTTACATTTGGAACTTAAATCTTGAACTAACTGTTTTAAATTTAAACTTCCTGAATATATTCTAGTGTTTGCCAGCCAAGGAATTTTTTAACGGCTAAAAAAAAAATTTCTTTTAACATTTATTTTTACAGCTGGAATTCTAGTGCAGAATTCAAAGGCATAGATATTTAGTTGAGATGGGTCCATCTCCAATAAAACATACATTTGCTTAAAAAACAAAATACAATAACATTATAGCAGGATAAAAGTCATAGAGTTTCTATTCGTCTTATTTTAATTCGAATTATTATTCGTTTATTCAAACTATTAAAACGAAATATCATAATAACAATACTAAATAATAGTAATGATAATTATAGTAATAATAACGATAGTAGTGGTAATAATAATACCGGCAAGTTTATCACCATCTGAAAAGTTTTTTCATCTACTGGGATTTAAGCCGGCTAAGGTTTTTCTACTGGCCAACATCACTAGTGGTGACACCAAAACTCCAAAGAAAATATCAACATACCAATGGTAACAGCATTAATACTATAATTAATGGCAATTCCTATTCTATGTACAATTATAACCAGGGCTGGCCGCGTAACTCAACTAGCACTATTTAGTCATATGTTAAATCAAGTTTAGTCAAGGCTCTGTCAACCCTGATTATAATAATAACATTGTATTAATATAAATATTTGTTTTCTTCAAAAAAACGGATCTACAGTTAAATGACTAAGTAATTATTGTTACGCGACCATCAAAAATATTCTAGTTGATATTACTAATGGTAGCAAGTAATGATAACCTTTTCTGTTTATTAATTTATTTTATAATAATAGAGAATGAATGATACTATTTTAATAATAATTCTTATTATATATATATATATAACATTATATTAATATCAAAACGGATTTATAGTTAAATGACTAATTATTGCTACGTAAACATCAAAAAAGTATAACGTAGTACTACCATCAATAACAATTCCTATTACTATGGTATTGTATTAGTATATTTGTCTTCAAAAAACGGATCTACGATTAAAATTATTGTTACGCGACCATCGAAAAGAAAAAAAATTTAGCATCAATATCAAAATACCTTTAGTTGGTGATTACTATTATTAATATAAATTTGTATTATTGCATATTAATTTTAATATGTTTCATTTCAATAGAAATGAAAATTCTGTATAAAAAGATCCTATTAGTATGCATTAGTATTTTTTTTCCGCAATTTAATTTTTAAATACGCCTAATCTACCCAACCCTCCAATAAAGTTTTAAAATATGCTGCGGTCACAGATGGTTTTCGCATGGAATCTCTTAGTATATAATAAATCAAGGAATCTATGAATATTTTGTTAGGGATTCCACGCGGGACGGGGAAAAATTCCTGGGTCAATATTAATAAAAAATTTAAAGGGATCCTTAAGCTTAAAACATTACTGATGATCGTGTAAACCGTAATGACATGACACTTCTTCTGGGCTTGTCAATTCATAAACTTCAGCACAATTTTCCAAAAATTCTTTACTTCCTTTCCAATATTTTTATCAATTACCATCTTAGTCTTTCATTTAGATATTATTTTTATATCACCATGAACTTTTGTTTTGATATAAATCAATTACTTGCCAAGCAATTTTTTATATTTTTAAAATAATTTCGCCCAATTTCCAGCATGTTGAGATGATTTTCTGACAAAAAGCTGTAGTATTACTTCGGCAGCAGAACGTTCTTTTATTGATGGGTATTCTTTTTGAGCGGTCCACGACACTTGTGTTAACAATTTGCCAAGGACTGTGTGAAGACCTGGATAATCCTATGTAAAAGCTAAAGGTTTACGCATAAATCAACTGTTGATAGAATAACTGACCTTGCCTTACTTGATTGTCGGTGAAACAGGTGTTGGTAAAATGACGCAGATCCGAATGGCTTATTTTGATTTTCAAAAAAAATAAATAAATAATAAAATAAAATTTAAGAATTTAATTTCTGTAGTAATACATTGACAAAAAAAATAAATAAATAATTTCTGTCTTTTAATATTATTTATTATTTATTTATTATTTATTTATTTAATTATTTAATTATTTAATTAATTATTATTTATTTATTTATTTATTTATTTATTTATTTATAGACAAAAAGTCCAGCAAACAAATAACTAATATCAAAATTTAATTATAAGCAAATTTCTGTTGTAATACATTGATTAGCCAAAACATACACAAAAAAGATTTTTATTTCGAGCAGGAACGCAATTTCACCATCAGAGCAATGACAGTAGTATTTCTTGATAATCTAGAAAGATACAAGATTGGTCAAAGAAAGAGGCTTTGTTCCGTTGTTAGAGGAAATTACTCGAGAGGTTGGTTCATACCCAACCGCCTATGCAATTTTTTATAAATGCATCTGGGCTTGGCTGCAATGGTTGTATGTAGCAAACCATTGACAAGTATAAAATGTTTGGTGACGAATTGGTTCCTATCGAACTCATACCATCTGGCGGTGTGATCGCAATTATAGACAAACAAGCGATTTTCGTTAAAAGATGTTAGTGATCACGAACTTGCCCATCTTTTAAAAATTTATTATGTTTATTATTTATTCTATATATTAAGTATATTTATTTTGCGAAAACTATTATGAACATTAATATAAATAAGATATGGAGTATTAAATATAAGCATTAATTACACTTTGGTTGAGTTCCATATATATACAATATTTTTCAAATTAGTATTTTTTTGTTCACGAATTATTTTCTTGCGTCCTTCTTTAATTTTATATGTGTATAGGCTACGTATTCTGGCACAACCACTTGGACCACTAACAAAATAATCTGCGTTCATTAATATCAATTTATCCATAATACCCTGTACTCCCGCTCCTTTTAATTCATGTTGTACTGCCTTTTGATCCAACCTTTTGTCATCAGATAAATAATCAAGTGCTTTCATTGATACCCATGTCTTTACTGAAAGTAAAGAATTTAAATAACTTATTGCCAAATGATGGTTCTTTGTAATTATATCCCAAGTATCGGATTGTGATACATTATTATTGATATTATTTAATGGATAGTCAGTAGCCAAATAAACATTTTTTATTTTTGTTTTGTTTTTTAATTTTTGAATAAATCTAACAAGTTGTAATGAACACTTTGGAGCTAATTCTTCATCCGCTGATTCCATTCTCCAATGTATGGCAATAAAAGGTTTTAATTTGTTAACAACTCTACTGCTAGCTTCAACTATATGTTTTGCATAAGCTAAAACTGATCCTTTTTCCAAAAATTCACCTCCATAAAGAATATACCTTATCAATAATATTTCAACGTCTGTATCAAATTCTTTCATTAAAAAGCTTTTCATCTCTTCTCGATACTCTTTAGTACGTATATTAGCTCCACAATAAACCTCTTTGTAATCTATTGGTTTGAGATTTAATGAATTATAACATTGTTCATCTTCAGGATTTTTAAAAAATTGGGTTGAAGGTTTTGATGATGTGAATCTAGGTTCTTTATGTGACATGTAACTAAGAGTTACATTAGGTTTAAAACTACGTTCTCCAATCCAATTATAAAAATCTTTTTGTGTAATAACTTGTAAACCTGGCATATTTTTTTTTAGTTGTTCGATATCATAATAAAACTCAAACGGAAAATCAGAACACGCATTCATTTCAGAATGTCCAACATTTGTCAATACCAATGTTCTATTTAAGAATATTGCTAATTTTGCAAGTGACGAGAAATGTAAATTGAGTCTAGATTCTTGTTCCCCTAGTACTCCATAAACGAACATAAATTTGCATTTCGGTTCACCACAATATTTCAAATTTATAGAAATATCTTCTTGTGAGAGAGTTGTAAGTGGGGATGATGAAGGCGGCGATAACGATGAATTTTGGTTATTAAACAATAGATTTACAGCAAAGTAACTATAAAAAATCCATAATACGAAAATGATGAATAATACTTTTAGAGATACAGAAATTCGAGAATAAGAATTTATTGATTTTTTTGTTATTGGGGACATCTTTGAAGATAATAATTAATCAAAGAGTGTGTTTTATTAAAAAAAACAATTCAGAGAAAAAGATTTTATAAACGAATGCAGAACAAATTATTATTTATTTCAGAACGGGCGCCGGTGTAACGTAGAGTAACCGCATGATAATAACAAGATTAATCTTTGCATAATTATAATACATTGTGATTAATTTAAAATTTTTTTAAATGTGATACATGCATCTTTCATTCACCTATCATTTATTCAATTCATTAATCCGTTCTAGATATAACGTTGAAGCAAATAAAAAAAGTGGTAAGCATTTACTTCAACATTCTACTAGTTGTCAGAAATTTCATGATGTTCATAGCTAGTCAATTATTTTGTGGCAATATTACAGTCAAACCTCGTTTCAATGAATCTTGTATCATCAAATTATAATTAAATTCGAGTTTAACTTCACATATAAATATACATATGACAGGTCCCTCTTATACTTAGTGTCGCAAGTCAGCTAGGAAGTCACAAGTCGCGGCTAGCCGACTAAATATTTTATAGTTACGACTAGATTTCAGCCGTGACTGATCAAAAATTCAAAAATAGTCCCAATTGTATTAATTATACAAACGTACGTAAAGTACATAATCTTGACAATATTAACCATTGAATGTACTGTATATATTCTCCTAATATTCAATTAATTGGATTCCTTTAAAAAATTTTCTAAAATAAATTAATAAATAATAAAGGCACTGTCTGTGTTAAAATAACCACTCAATGAATGTATAATTAACAACATATTCTTTTATAGCTTAATGAATGGTTTAGTGGAGGAGTTCCATATTACAATTTTTGGATAATTATGAACTTTTGATGATAAAAAAACATCCCGGATCATTGGATTTGGATCCGTGGGTATTAAAAAGACAAGCCGATATGATTCTATATATTAGTCAACTCATAGCTGAAATCTTGCATGTTACTATTATCACTTCAAAATAAATAAATGTAAAAAAAAATTAAATTCTACGCAAATTAAATTCTACATGTAATATTATTACTGTGCAACATTGGTAAACAATCCAGCTTCTTTTACTATACAAAATAAATACTACTCATACTGTTATCTTTTTCTACAAATAACAATAATTTTTTTATTTGCCTTCAGCGAATGAAAATGAAAAAATAACTGATTTTTTGTTTTTTACCTTCAGAGAAATGAAAAAACTGATTGATTTTTTGCAACCTGCATGCTATAATTAAAATATTTCTCAGATAATAACATATAGTTAAAAAAAATATTGGCAGGAGAATTTTTATAGTTGATTAGTTTTTTACATAAAGTGAAAAAATAAAGTGAACCTTTACATATTTGATCTACAAATACATTTTTCTACAACAAAACGATTACTTTTGTTTTCAATTCAACACCCAAATTTTACAAAAAATTCCTTCCCAAAAAAATATTTTAGTTCTAAACAGAATGCATTAATTCGAATTCAATTCTGAATCCAATTCAATTCCGAATCCAATTCAGAATTCTTATCCATATTCATTAAAATTGAACCGCGTTTTTTATTTTTTTTACCTGAAGATCTACTTTGTTGATACTTTATTAACATAAAAAATTACACAAATTTTGATATATGAGGCAAATGATAAACGTATTAACCCTTTTTATTGAAAAATTCGATAAATATGGACATGCATCAAAACTATTGGCCCGAAATTTATTATATGTTAAAAAGACAACAATTAGTAAAGTCACGTTTTATTTATTTTAGTTAGGACTAACGTTGGGTAATTGATGAGCGTTACTAACTTAATTTGCTTTAGTAAACTATTGTCCAAAGGTTAATCAGAAATACTGACGGTGTATTATAAATGTAAACCTTTTAAACGGGTTGTTTAAGTTGTTTTGTAAATAATCCAAAAGCGAGTTTGCAATCAGCCAGACAAGCGTAAACGGAATAAATCTGTCAAAAGTAAATAAAAAAGGAACATTATGGAAGCATTTGAGATTTATAAAAGAGACATCTTTATTTATTTATAGTTATCTGGTGCCATTAAGTGTGCTTACGGATTCGCTGAAGCTCTCTATGTACAACAAGAAAGAGGCAGTAGACGAAAGCCAAAGTAAACTCGTAAGCTAGTTAATTGTCAAGCGCCGAATTATTGTGAACTGCTTTCTTGCAATTAACTGACAAGCGTAGCCCAAAAGCTAAATTATCGTCAGCCATACTTATTAAACAATCAGCGCTATCAAAAAGGCTACCTTGCATTAGCCGACTTGCTGGAGGTAAGTACTGTTTTTTCGGATGATACATTATACATTTGCGAAAGGATGTCTTGAATCTTGGATAATTTTAACGTGGATTAATAATATTGAGATCACATAGAGTACAAGCAAAAAATACCAGATTATATTTTGACAAAGATAAATCCGCTAAAAAGAAGAAATGTTGGTGAAAATTAGAAGGAAATTGATTTCTATTAATATTTAATATTAATCAATTTTAACCAACCAGATCACTGTCAAAACTAGAATTTTTGCCAGCGCTAATTTTTGCTTTTAGATTAATTGCTCCAATTATCTTACCCTAGTATAGGAATTTTTGTACAAGTTACAAGATTTTTAATGAAATTCCACTTTTTTAGTTCTCATTTGCTTTTTAAAGTTATTAAAATACATATGAATGATTAAAATAATTTAGGAAACAGCAAAAATGAGACGTTATGTGCTTAGTGGTTATGACACGTAATGTATGACGAAACTTTTGACTTTAATCATTGAAGTAATGAAGGTACTGACTAAAGGTAGTTAATTTTTCACCAAGGGCCATTTTGACGATTTGGCGAAAGTAAAAAGTGTTGACAAAAGTAAAATTGAATTTTTTTGTTTTATATATATGTAAGACATCCCTTAATTACAGAGAATAAATATTCCGAGTAAAATTATTTTGAAGACAAGAATCTAAATAATTGTTGGTTGATAATATATTTTAATAAAAATTAGATCTAATTTTTACTTGTTTTGCCAATGACTTCAATGATTTTGATTTTCATCAAGGGTTTTGACTTTCGTCAAGGGTTTAGTCTTTCGTCAAGAGTTTAATCATTTGTCATTTTTTAGTGCATTTGACGAAATAGTTTCTCAATTTTTAGTGACACGTATTAAAAAGTTAAAATGACATAAAAGCGCGTGTTTTTTTTTTAATCCCACTTTCTAACTTTTATTAAATAAATATAATAATAATAATAATAATAATAATAATGCCCAAAAGACAGCCACAAACTAAAAAAGAATCTCAAAGTAATAATAGTTCAGAACAAAACGGGTAAGCCTATTATTATAAATAATTATTTTCACGCGTCTTAGGATTATTATTATTATCATCATCATCATTTAATAGAGAAGATATGGTTCAAATGTTTTCTGTTTTCCAAAGTAAGTTTATTAAAAGGAGGAATTGTAATGATAATAGTAATATAATATAAAACAACAATAATTGTTGTTGTTGTTGTTGCTGCTAGCACGTATGGAAAAGAAAGTAAGGGATAGACAAGAAAAGCTTGAAAATGATTGCAATAAAACAATGCAACAAATGAGAAAGTTGACTCAAGAACTTGTTTCAAAACAAAAACAAGAAATGTAATTTATATTTATTTATCTTAATTAATTGATTTATATTTATTCTAATAATACACTCGATTATATAGAGAAATGAAAGTTAACAAATATAAGAATCAATATCAAGAATATAAGGAAGAAAAATACTCAATTTTAGAAAGATTGAAATCGGAAAATTTAAAATTATTGGTAAGAAAACATTTGTATAATAACATTTCTATCATTGTTATTATTATCAACTATAATTAATTAAAATAACATCATCAAATCACAGCAAAATTATAAATCAATCGTTAATGAATTAGCAAGAGTTGAAATGTCTCAAATGAAAGAATTCCAAATATTTGAGAAAAAATATAATTCATTTATTGAAGAGATTGAAGCAATTCAAAATGAATAATCCATTGACAAACTATATATATATATTAATATATGCACAAATAATAATATTAAGATATATAAATAACTAGAATATTTAATAAGTAAAAATATTATTTTTTTAACCTGATATTTGATCGGATGTCTTGCAGCTCAATCACTTGTCGCTCGATGTTTTGATGTATAACATAAATTTCTCCAAAAAAGTATTTTTTTTAAAAAACCCATTATATTGAATGTTCTTAATGAATATATAGAGTTGGAAATTGGTTGTCAAAAAAAGTCCAGAATAAAAAAAACCGGGGCAAGAAAACGAGGAGAGGGGAAAAAGGACAGTTAACATAACATGTTAATCTTCCAACTATATATAATGATAGAATAATCAAATTATTAAAGTTGACTTTAGATATCGATATAATTTAAATATCATTCGCTATTTTGCATCAGACCTAGTCGGGTCACTCCCTCTTCCATCTGAAATTAATCATTTTGGGAACCCTTAAAGCAACACTTTATGACTCGTTTAGCGAATGAAGCCTTGTGTTGGCATGCATAGCCAACACTCCCAGATGAAAATATTTCAACTATATCTGGAAATATGAAGCAGAATGAAATTTCCTGCCACTTCTCATCCAGTACTGGTAGCAGTTGTGGTGAAGGGTTGGAAATAAGGTCTGAAAAAAAAAAACGGAAATTCCTCTTGAATGCTAAGAATTTTCTGAAAGAAAAATTTAACAAATTTTTACACATAATCCTACTCAATTAACCTATTGTTAATTTAAAGCTAGCCTACCACCTTTAAATAATTAAATAGGCATAATTAAATAAATCTATCTAAATAATTATACAAAAAGATAACATGCTAAAGGCAAAAATTTTCTCACTTAGCCCCAAAAAATATGAAATTCTGACATACTGAA